GGAGCGCCCTGAAGGCATTAAGACACATCTTCGTAACATGATTATTGTGCCAGAGATGATTGGTTCAGTGGTTGGTGTGTACAATGGCAAGGAATTCAACGGCATTGAAATTAAGGTATGTTTCCAGAATTGGTCGCTGCTCTCGGGGGGTGTGCGGCTTAGACTCGAAGAGTGGTGGTTCTGTTACTTAAATATATGTTGACAGTAATCACCCGGCTGCCACCCCCTTGTCGACGTTCTGTGTATGGGGCGACCCAGGGAGATTCCTTACATTTACTATCTGGATTGACCATGTGTCAGGATATGTTTATTAAAACAGGCTAACTTTATACTTTCATTGTTTGATTTGACAGCCCGAGATGATTGGACACTACTTAGGTGAATTCGCGATTTCGTACAAGCCGGTAACCCACGGTCGCCCCGGTATTGGCGCCACCAACTCTTCGCGTTTCATTCCACTTAAGTGATTGGATTGAACAGTATACTGAGAAAGGGTGAGTCTTATTTGGTACGATATCCTAAGTTGAGCTCCCTTTTGGGTGAGCCGATGTAATACACTTCTTCAGCCTTGTAAGGTATTTCTGGACGGTGGTATTGTTGTAAATTTCTATTCGTGATTTGGTACTTCGGGTGCTGGAGATGGTAGAGGCGGGTGCAATGGTGATGAGGAAAGCCAGTGAAGCAAACACGCAAATCCAGCTTATCAATGTTGGACAACGTTTTAATCGACATTTGCACGTCAGTCTGAGGCTACATCTCTATCGTCAGAGCACTCTTCTCTACATCGTGCCGGACGTTTGTCAATCCATATTTAATGTTTCGTTCTGCTGGTTGATTTGTTTGCCGATGATGACTAGTTCTCTTCTGATCAAATCTGATGAAACTTTTTTTATTTCCAATTGATCCTACTGAAGGCGAACAATCACATTTCGAACTAGCGTCTCTTTTAAAACAAAGAAATCTTAATTTTATATCCAAAACTTGGTCTATTCGATCTTCGTGTACTGCTCAAATAAGTCATGTTTTACAATCGTGTTCTATTCTGCCGCCTATCGTCTTTTGCTGGTCTGCTGTTGTGCTTTCAGAAGAAGTTGAGGAATGGTCGTTACTGGAGTGCTATAATGCCTTTTCTGGTTGCCGTAAGTTACAACGTATCCTTCAAGATTCCTTCCAAGCTTGTCACCTTTGTAAGTCGTCAAGCTGTCAGCTGCAAAACTTGATTCAGCATGTGAAGGCTGGACATTGAAGCCGGCTATGCAGAACTCAACACAAATATTTTCAGACAAATATGATGAGTGCGAACTAGCATCGCTAAATAGGTCGTACCTTTTCTCATCATTGCATTGGGACTTCGGATGACAGCTTGTGACGATACTATGCCGACAGGAAGCTTTATATCGGTAACTTTGGCATGAAGCGAAACATCTAAGCGAATTCACATTAAGACCAGACTAAAGGAGGTGCAGACGCATACCAAGAGTTTACCATTTTGCTGCGGGTCATGATAAATGTTAGATCCTTGTTTCCGCAAACTGATGCCGGACAGGTTTGCACTCATCAAAGCTGAAGTAACTGTATCTGACTGTGAAGACGAAAACGTTGCAATACCCCCTGGACGGACTAAATCGATTTGCCGGCCGGAATTATGACTTTCAGTAGAAGTCTGGGTATCATATGAATTTTGTGTTGCAGGGTGCAATGATCGAGTGTTTGTGTTTGCCTTGCTAATAAAAAAATCACCTTCATACTCCGATAGCGAAAATGGTGGTGCAACTGTCACATGTCCCTGCGAGAAATATGAAGGGGGAGGTTGACGAGAATACCCAATATCGTTTGCTGCTCCGCAGAATTGAGAAATTCCTGCTGAGTGTGCAGCTTTTGTTGGAATACTTGATGGAGCCAAGATGAGCTGAGTTGTAATTTTTGTGCTGTTTTCCATCATTATTTCGGGGGCAGCCTTCACTGCCTTATATGCACCTTGTTCAAGGGCAAAATAAGATTGGATTCGTTGTCTCTCATCACTATCAATGTCCTTGCCGTCTAATATCCTGAGCGAACTAAGTTTAAATATCACAAGCTGTCGATATAGGTGCATTTTGGTCAGAGGGTTATTAATGAGATTGAGGTTGACTAAGGCCGGCAACATAATTAAACTCTCGACATCTCTTAATTCAGTGACTCGGTTGTTGGACAGCTCCAAAGTCTACGAGCAGCATAATGTTACGTCAATGCGTACCTTCAACTTATAACAAAAGACATACGAACATTTAAGCTTAGCATACTGCTGAAATCTGACAAAGATTCAAGTACATTGTCCTCTAGGTTTAGAATTGTCAGCTGCTGTAAGGAAAAACTTGTTTGAGGATTTAAGTGCCGAATTCGATTCTTGTCTAATCGTAGTTCCACAAGCTCCGTGTTGCTTTCAAGGCCTCCAAGATACTCGATGGCATTGCCATGCAGATGAAGAACCTACAACCGACATTAAACTTTGATCCTAACATTCGCGGAAAATTGGGATAATCTTACCTTAAGAAACTTTAAAAACTGAAGCCCTAGCGATGACATGTCCGAGATCTGGTTATGCGCAAGGTGCAGTATCTCAAGATTACGGCAAGCGAGGATTCCCACACCTTCAACACTGCAATTATCCGAAATTGTGCAAACCAAAGATGATCCTGCAGGAACCAGCCTTATTATCTTATTGCGATTAAGCTTTAAAATTCGCAACTTTGGTAGCGCCTCAAGCCCGAAAATATTGCTAATTTGATTATTATCAAGATTCAGCTCGCGTACATTTATAAAGATTTCCCCGGAAACGTGCCCAATATCTCGAATCTGACAAGAAGAAACGTTTATGTCGAGCAGCTCACTGATTGAAGATTTATTAAAATCCGTTGATGTACCAGAACAATCACCAAAATATTTCTCAACAATAAGTTCGTAAGTTAGTTTTCCACTGTACTTTTCCCTTGCGTCGCTTTCATCCTGCGCAGAAACAGCAACACAATCCAGCATCTTCATATGTCGAAGATAGAAAACTGAGTAAAGGCGATAATCCGGAATACAGGTGATCTCATTTCCGGATAAGTCGAGAATCGTGAGTCGGGGCAGAGACTTTAGATGTTGTATTTCCTCCAGATTACTAATTCGGTTGTTGGCTATGTAAAGCTCTACCAGCTTTAAAGAAGAATTAAGACCTCTCAAACTAGAGATCTGGTTGTCTTCAAAGGAAAGCTGAGTAAGATTCCTTAGTGAGTCAAGGTGTTGAATACTAGTTAGCCGATTGCGTCCGAGACTTAATGTTTTGAGTAGCATGAGACCGTCCAGATTCGCGATCGTTGTGATCTTATTGTCATCTAAATTGATTTCTTCAAGTCTTTTACATGCTTGAAGGCCATCAATTTGTTTGATCACATTGTCGGAAAGTGAAAGTACTCGTAGATTAATCGCATCTGATAGTCCCTCAATCGATTCGAGCAACTGATGATCAAAATAAAGCTCTTCGACTACTTTCCATTCCATTTTGACTAGTGACGAGGCTGAGATTTTTTCATCATCGGAAATGAAAGGTAATGGCTTTGAGCTATGACACTTTTTATTATAAAAAGAAGGGACTGTTGAGGAAGATATTTGAGTTACCATCGATTGGGCGGTGGCAATTTCTTCTTGAAGTACTGCTTGTTGGTCCAGCTGGGCAAGCTTTGGTAAGAAATGAAGCACGTGAAGCCTGTAGCGCTTGGAGTCACATATGTCGTTCTTTCGAAAGTCCAGTTGTTCCAGTGCAACATTTTTCAGTGCTTGTCCAATGCGATCGACTTCGTCAAATGATTGAACTAAATTGTGCGTGACTTCAAGTGTGTTTAAACTGCAAAGAGTGTCAAAGTTTTCCAAACGTGCTATATAATTAAATGATAGGTCCAGCGTGATCAACTTGGAAAGACCCATTAAATTACTTGTGCTCTGTAATTTGTTGTAGCTTAGGATCAAAACTTCGAGATGGTTGGCAAGAGGCATCAAATCCGGAATCGCGTCTAAACCACATCCGAGCAAACATAAAGTCTTCAAATGACAAGTCCTGGCTATTTCCAATCGCATTGTAAAACTGGGGGACTCAATGACTTCAGCTAAGATGGGCTCCATTTGTAACAAGCGCACAACAGCTTCATCTTGTTCAGAAGACAGACGCTTTCCAGGCAGTTGTGGACTCTGAGAACGCCAAACACGGTACTTTTGTTCGAATTTTTTTAACTGTTTAGCGAGTACGCCCGAAAAGACGTTCAATTTATTGCTAAGCACGACACAAGGTGATTCAGTCACATTTGCGGAGTCAAGTGGATTCGACCCGTCATTTTTGTAGATATACTGATACTCAACAAAGTATTCCGGTAGAACCAACGCCCCATCAAACATATAAAACAACTTTTGCTGTTGCATCGTCACATATTCTCCTGCAATTGCAGCCGCAGAGCCTCCATAAACCACTTGACAACTCTGGATTCCTGTAAAATCCATTGGTCTCTTATTGGAGGCTAGTTTTGCGAGAATCGCATCCGTATTACTCATGCTTTTTGTGTGTCCTGAGAAAACTTTAGCCACAAGAAGCACACAAGGGGGGAGTTCCCTTCCGAATGATGCAGCATGTTCCACGGCTTTTTGAATATCTTCAGCCGAGCTTGCTTGCTTTGATACCTGACTTCCCCCTGTGCTATTTATTTGAAGACCTTGTGCGAGAAGTGCTTCGGTGATTCGCGGTGCATCGAGCAATGCAATCGAATTGGAAAGTCTGATTGCAGCTCCAAAGTCGGTTGCACTAAAATTGGAAGATTTACAAAACCCATTCTCTGCGATGTCAAGGTATTCTGGACTTACTGACTTGCATACAACTTCATCATTAAGTTGTGACGGCAGCGCGTAAAATAAATATTCTGTTGTACATTCCAATGTTGAAGCACTTGGGGATTCTGTCAGGTGCACGTGAGACAATCCATACTTTTTCCCTGGCGCGCTTACACAATCTAACTCCTCTTTTACGTTCTGATCCGACAAAGTCACACCTTTTTTCGTGATATTTTCCTTCAAATCTGTGTCGGGAACTATGAGCACCTCTTCCATTCGGGCCTGAAATCGATTCCGTAAGAATCTATTGTTTATTCTTGTCACTCGATTGATTTTAATGTCCTTGATACCAAATTTCTGTAGCCCTGAAAGATACAATCGCGAGCGAACTAGCTCTTCACATGATACAAACCACGCATCGGAAGGATTTGCATCCTCAAGTCGAATATTGCCGCCACTTTCTAGTTCCAGCATCAGACGCGCAACATTCCAGTCTGACAACGACTGCAGTCCTACTCTTAATCGTTCAAAGTCTTGATTCATACGATAAACAGTAGTGTAGCGATCTCGAAGCCAGGAATTTAAACATTCCAGCCTTTTCTCAAAACTCTCAATCCTCTCGGGCGACACTGCCTTGTTCTCAATCATAAAACACTCAATTTCTTTCTTTTGCCGCACCAATGCCCATACACTCGCTTCCATATGATACTCAGCTTGCTTACGGATGATCTCGGTATGTCGAAGAAGTTGATACATGTCGCGTTTGATGGCCTTGATTCGCATATTGTAGTATATTGTCTTCTTAATCATAGTTGTTTCGGCGATTTGTTTGTTTCGCGCGGGAAGTAATAAGGTGTCTAGAAATGTTAATCGAGGTAGTTGACACACTAAAAACGTTTCATAATTGCATAATCGACACACTGGATTGTCGCCAAAGTGGACATCACTCAATATGAGACTTGAAAGCTGGTCCATTGTCGCAAGTGATAGCAGTCCTTTCAAACTCGATAAGTTGTTATCTGCAAGGTTCAGTTCCTTAAGATTCACGCAGCTCATAAGCGATGAATTGATACAACTGATTTGATTTCGACACGCCCATAAATGTGTTAATTTTGTCACTCGCCCCAGTCCATCTAGCGTCTCTAACTTGTTTTGATTCACCCATAATGTCTCCAAATTTACAAGCGTGTCGAGATTTTCCAGTTTTTGAAGATTATTTGAGCTCAAATTCAGGTGCTTCAATTTTGTACAATTCGCTAAATTTGCAATTCTTGTCAAGCCACACTCTGTGATACATAAACTCTCCAGATTTGTGCATTGATTCACTCCTTCAATCTCACAAATCGTCGTTTGGTTCACAATTGATAGCTCTTTTAGTGCCGGGAAATGCATGACGCTCTTCATGGATGTCCAGAATCCCATAAATAAATCCAAAGACGTCACTCGCTCGGTTTTTCGTGCAAATTGCAGAGCTGAAAGACCGTTTTCTCGACATAACAATTCAAGATCGGGTGAAGTCATATATACTTGCATTTTTTCTTGTAGCAGAGCTGACAAAATGTCTCCGTTTCCAACCACTGGATCACTTGAAATCCCTTCACTCTCAGTCAGCAATTCATCGTCTGCACTTGTACTGAAAGCTTGTAGCATACCCGAACTGTTGCGTGAAAGAGATTTGGTTGACAATCGCTTGATTGCAGCTGATTGAGGAAGTGGAAGAGTTGCTATAGGCGGCAATAGACTGGAATCAACAGATTCTGCCATCACGTCCAACACACTACACAACAAACCAAAACGCGAGGTCTTTGACAAAAATTTCAGGGCTACAATTGAACCGCCGGTGTATTTTTGACGTAATCCTTAACGAGATTATATATTGCAACCGCAGCTGAACATTTGAAAATACACCATAACTAGCAATCTCCAAAGACTAGCTTCTTTGTGTGGATAAAGGTTCAAAGAATAATGTATAATAAGAATATTTGCATTTGGTGCAAATATAACATTAGAAAAAAAGCAATTTTGACACACTTATCTATGGCGATTGTAGATCAAGTGCTCAAGCGCATTCCGCATGCTGCTCCACTCGAGCAGATCTTGGCTGCGCTTGTAGCTGTCGTCGCTTTATTCTTCTTTATACTACTATTATCCATATATTATCTCTACGGCTTTGCTGGATGTTTCACTTTGATCCTAATCACACTTAGTTTGGGGCTCCGTTGGGTATATTTTAATGGTGTCGGGGTGATGGGGTGGCAAAGTGCATGGCTACGCAACTCGAATTTGTTGATCAAGTCCTTATCTAGTGATCCGAAGCATAAAGGAACGCTGAGGGTCGTTTGCATCTCGGACACACACACCAAGCACCGCCGCATTCAGAATTTGCCAGATGGGGACGTGCTGCTTCACTGTGGTGACTTTACGAACCGTGGCACTCACGATGAGATTCGCGATTTTAACGACTGGTTGGGCACGTTACCACATCGACATAAAGTGGTCATCGCAGGAAATCATGATGTTAGTATGGATGCAGTTGAGTACGACCAGCACTGGGACAAAGCGTTTCGTCACATGGAGTACAACGACCCCAGTCTTTCCAGAGCTTTGCTTACTAATTGTACGTATTTGGAAAATCGTTCAATTGTGATAGAAAAAATTAAATTTTATGGGTCTCCCATGACTCCGCTGATCTCCGGACGTGCTGGTGCATTTCATTTGGCACGAGGCTTTGCAGACCAGCAGCATTGGAATAAAGTCCCCGCTAACGTGGATGTGCTAGTGACCCATGGACCACCGTATGGTATTTTGGATTTGACGGTCACAGGACATCATGTTGGTAGTGAAACTTTGTTAAGGGAAACATTGTCAAGAATTCGACCCCGTTACCATGTTTTTGGACACATTCATGAAGCGTATGGAGCCACACGTGTGGGAAATACCGTTTTTGTGAACGCGGCGACTAGTACACTGCTGACGAAGCCTTATCATGCACCCATTGTGCTCGATATTCCAATACCATGCTGATTTTAGGACCACGATACCTCATGAAAGGAACTTGCTCATCGAAGCCTCAATCGCTAATTGACACTCCAGTTTTAAAATGTGCTAGACATCATAACGCTCCGAGGGCCAGCCCATGAGATCAAGCGCAATCGTTCCTATTAGGCGTAAATCTGGGCACCATCACACCATTGTCATGTCGGTACCATATGACAATCTTCTAGATCAGTTGATAAAAAGAACTTCGAGTTTAGAGTTCCGTACAACGAATTTGATTTACCTAACGTATAAATCACACAGAGCAGAAGTGTTAAGCCTAACCGTGTTTAGCAGTTATTAGTCCTGATATATTCATATTCAAGTGCGTCGTGCAATGGCGCGACTGTCGAAAACAGTAGACAGCATCAAAGATGCCAAATTCAGTTACGCTATCCGTACTAAATTAAAATTTAGGACAAAAACAGGAGGCATATTTTCTCGTTGAGAACTTGAAATGCGATACTTTCTTAGGTTTGGCTTGTTGGAGCAATATGAGCTCCCTGGCCAGAGCCGGTGGAGCTTGCAGGAGCTTGCAGCGGGGCTGCCGTAGCTTTGCGCTTAACGAAAGCGTAAGTTATGTCACCGACCTTTCGTTTTAGCTTACTCCAAGAAGTAATTACCGTACTTCACAAAATAAAAGCCACTCAAAAAGATCACCTTTTTCTGATTTTCG